TTTCTTTATGTTGAGGTGTAGTCCGTACTGAAGGCTGCAGTCTTTGATCTGCATCAGTGCTTCAAGCCCTCTTCACTTTCAGCAAACAAGGTTGTGTCATCTGCATATTGCAGCTTGTTAATGAGTCTTCCTCCAATCCTGACGCCTCTTGGTCTATATACAGGCTCTGCATGGGCACAATTTTGAAACAGTAACATCACATAAAAAAGAAAGAACAAAAAAAATGCCACTAATTAGGTCTAGAGAAAACATAAAGGTGCACAGAAAAAAAAAGTAATGTACAACATCATTCACCGTGAACAGCATCTAAGTAATCATACATGTAAACACTAAATGTTGATCACCTAAAAATTACAACAGGTCTACACGGGGGCAGGGGGCAGAGAGTGATAAGCATATGCGGGGAGGAAAGGAAACAGGATAAACATCCATCTTCCAGGGCAGAAAGTACTAGATAATATCTACAACTGAAAAATAAAGAAGCTTATGATCCAGCGGCATGAAAGTAAATTCCAAAATAATCAGCTAAGAGAAGTTAAAGTGCTTGCCTCTAGGTAGGGGAAAATGGTAGGAAGGGATGCTGTTTCTCCTAACAAACCTTGAGAAACTGTTAGACGTTTTAAATTACTGTAGTTTTACTCAAATAATGCACGCTTTAAACCTTTTTTCTAACCGCGCTACGCCATAACTGTTTTACTTAACTTCATCATGTCCATGTGTTATATGTGTGGGTGCATTATTTATAAAAAATATGGTGTGCGTGTGTAACTTTGATTATTAAAAAAAAGCACTAAAGATAACTCAAGCTCAGAATCTGCCTAGGGAGATACCTAGTAGGTTGGCATGATTTTTGATTCAATCCAGCATGTAGTTACTGAGCATCTCTGATGAGCTAATAGCCATGCCCCGAGTGCTACAAGGGCAAAAACACCAACAACACAACACCTGTCCTCAGAGATCTGGTGTTTTGTTAGTAAAACATACGCACGGAAAAGAACACAAGTGCAATGCATGTTGTGTTATGGTCACCACCCAGTGTGCAGTACAGAAGAGCTATGTGGTAGCAAGAAAGGGAGACTCGAGGCCAGAGCGGGCAACAAAGGCTTTAAGACAGATCTAAGAGGTGGAATAAAAAAGAGTAACAGAACTTTAGAGAGGAAAAGAAAAGGCATTTCTAGAAGGGGAACTGGCTAACAATGAGAGTATGTGTAATTTGGAAGCACGGACAGTTTTTTCAAACACAGGTGACATTTTACTCATAATGGGGGGGGGGGTGCAAGACTATGAAAAAGGAAAATCAGAGACTAGAAAACAGAAATCACTGTTGACTTCCTACATTTCCAGTGCCCCAGACACTATCAATCAGAAAGAAGCCCTGTCGTTTTTCCCTGCAGTGTCTCAGATGCAGCATCCCTTGCTCATCATTATTAGCACTGCCTCTATCCTCACCTTACCCCCACCCCCAATACTAAAATCATCCACTTCAAGGGCTGGAACAAGACCTCCCAGGCCCTGTCTGCCCTGGCTTCTATTTACCTGAGCAGGCACACGACCATACTTTGTTCTCACACTCCAACAACACTAACCTCTGTGTTCCCAGAATGCTCCCTGCTCTTGGTGGTCACCGGACCTTTGCACGGGCTATTGCTTCCACCTTTCTCCTGTTAACTCCTACATATCCTTCCATTCTCACCTCAACCCATTTCCTCAGGGAAACAAATTCCCTGACTGCCCTAACTCAGGAATCCATGTCATAAACTCTCATGCATTCCTTTCCTCTATGCCAGTTTGTAATCTAAACCCTCACTTGGGTGATTATCCAATCCACACCCACATCACCTTTTAGACCAGTAGAGCAAGGAATCAGCATCACCTAAGAACCTATCAGAAATGCAAATCCCCAGGCAGCATCCCAGACCTACTGAATCAGAAACTCTGGGGGTGGGGGGGGGGGAGTTGTGTTGTTAAAAAAAAACAAAAAAAAACTCTGCAGGTGATCCTGATGCACACTTGAGAACCACTGGGCTAAGCTATAAACTCCATGATGGCTCAGTACAGGTGCTTTTCTGCACTCTGAGATGTCCCCTAGTACCAAGCACACCGCCAGACAACAGTAAGGCCTCCGTAAGATTACCTGGTTGAATGAAGGACTGGTGAAAAACTTTCCACAGCTCCCTATATCCCCTACCTTATTAACTCTAAACCCCTCTGCCCAACCTTAAAAGCCACCCATTATCAACACTGACCAGCTGTCAGAGGATCTAGATTCTAGCTCCAGCTCCCAGGCCTTCCTGGGCTCAAATCTTGCCTCTCCACAGTTTTACCATCTCTGCCATCATCCATAAATTACCTAATCTCTCTTGGCTTTAATCTCCTCATCCCTGAAGTTACAATAATCATAGTACCTATTTCCTAGGGCTGCTGACATAGCGAAATGAGACAATGGCGCTAAGAGTCATGCCTTTACATACGTGGCAAGCATTTAACAGATTTAGACATTATTATTGTCATAATAATAATTATTCAGCTTTAAGTGGCTTTCCTCTTGGGTCTCAGCTTTTTTCCAATAAAATGCAGAAAAATGGGTAAATGTACCATAAAGTTCATTGAGCAAAATGATTATTAATAACCATTGTTATCCCATCAGCCCTGACTCACGGCAACCCCATGCACAATGCTGCCCAGTCATGCACCATCCCCATCATCAGCTGCAGATCAGATCATTATGATCCATAAAGTTTGCAGTAGCTCATTTTTAGAACTAGATTACCAAGCCTTTCTTCTTAGCTTGCCTCAGCCTGGAAGCTCCTGAAACCTGTTCAGCATGGTAGCAACATGTAAGTCTTCAATGACAAGTGGTAGCTGTGTATGAGATGCACTGGCTAGGAATCAAACTCAGGTCTCCTGCATGGAAGGGGAGAATTCAAGCACGGAACCATCACTGCCCTCATTAATAACCATATTAAAAACTAAAAAGCAAACAAAAACATTGCTATTAAGTCAATTCTAACTCATGGCAACCCCCATGTGCTTCAGAGTAGAACTGTGCTCCATAGTGTTTTCAATGGCTATAATCTTATGGAAGGAGACTGCAAGGCCTTTCTCCCACAGCACTGCTGGCTGGATTCAAACCAACCTTTCGGTTAGTAGCTGAGTTCAAATCATTTGGGCCACCCAGGGAACTATTAATAACCATAGATACCATTAACTGAATGCTTGCTTTGTGCACCTCATTTATATTATTGTACTTCATCTTCATAACTGGCCCTTAAGGTGGAGTGAGGATTTGCACCCAGGTCTGCATGACTCCAGAACTTACTATAAAGTGGTCTGTTTCTCAGAATGTTGGCATTGCTGGATTTGCGATTCTCATCCGTGTACTCCCACTTTACTCAAGATTGGCCATACACACTTCAGAGCAGCTCTTCCTACCTTCTAAAACCAGTCCCATCTAAGCACTCATTCTGGGGGCCTGAATCCTTCCCTTTTAACAGGAGCCCTACTGGAGCTTCCTCTGCTCCACCTCCTGCAGCAGCCGGGCTGTACCAGGCAAGCTGGTCTCGTTCACACAGTGTCTTCCTGGAGTTCTGCGAAAGTCACTTGCCCGAGTCCCCACTCACTTCGATAATCAAGTCTTAGTAACTCAAGTTAGCGGGTGGTTTCATTTCAGTTTCTGTCTACTGGCCACGATTCAAACGGAGCTCACACTGAGAGCTATTTCTAATGCAATGTTGGTTCTTGGTAAAGTATTAATAGCAGCAATTAAAATACAGTCCTATCCAATCGATCTTTTTTTAAAAAAAAAAACAAAAAAAAAACACGGCTTCTGCCTTCTCTAAGGAGAGACAAGGTCCACCCCGTTTCCAAAGGGCCCCCCTGCTTCCCTGTCTCAAGGCAGAGGGCTGTAAAGTCATGACAGAAAGGAGAACCACAGACACCAAAAGCCACGAGCTCACGCTCCGCCCAGGTTCCGCCACTGCTCTACGCCTCCCTGCTGGGCCACCGGCGCTCCAGACAGGCCGCCCCCGACCCCGATCAGCACCGCCACGAGCACCCTGTTTTCGTGGGATCCGGCCCCGCGCTCGCCCCTGCCGCCCACGGAGGGCCCCAAGTCCCAGGTCTGCCCACTGGCCGGGACATGTCGGCGCACCCGTGGGGGAGGCACCGTGCTGGTAACATTTCGTACCAGAATAGTTAAATGCTGAGTAATTTCCCCGCGGAGCAAACAGTCGGAGCAGGGGGCTCTGCCAACGGCAACAGTATTTTTATCCTATTTAATCAACAAGGCGGCCGAGGCTGCGGGAGTCCCCGAGGGCTGCGCCCCGGCGCGCGGAACAACTCCGGAACCGCTGAGCCGGGAACCCTCGCCCGCTGTCGAGGGCTACGTGGCCGGCTCCGAGGGCGCCAAACGGAGGCTTTGCGCCCCCATACACACCCCCAGACCCTGACCCCACGCCGTGACAGCCGTGCCTCCGCGCACACCCCTCCGAAACCGCCACCGAGTCACACGCGAAAGGGGCGGGGAGGTAATTTCGGGGCAACAGGCTGAAGCCATCGTGCGCATAAGATTTGTCCGAGGACGGTGGAAGCCTCGGACCGCTCGGAAACACTGAGTCGCGGTCACCGCGTCCCAAGTTCATGGATAACTCCGCTCGGGTCACTCGGTCTCTGCGCCGGGGCCTAAGCGGTGCACAGGGTCTGAGGCGAAGTTTACCGATTTTTTTTTTTTTTTTTTGCTGGAGTAAGAAAGGGGGCGAGGGGACCCAGATCTCCCGGAAAGGGGGTGAGAGTGGGACGGGCAGGTACAGCCCGGCGGGGGAGATGGCTCCAGGAGGCTGAGGGGAGGACACAGAGCCGGAAGGCTGCCCCTCGGGGAGCGCACACCGGCAGGCAGCGCGGCCGTCGCAGCCTCGCCACTGCCGGCCGACCCCGGCCCCGCCGCGGGCGCCCGCGAGGAATGAATGGGGGCTTCCCGGCCAGCCCCTCGGGCTCGCACTCACAGGCAACGTAGGCGACCAGGGCGATGCCCAGCAGCAGCTTCATCCTCCTGCGGTTGATGGCAGAAACCAGGCGCAGTAGCGCCTTGCTCACCATCCCCGGGAGCGGCGCCAGTCGAGGACCCTGCCGCGCGCCGGGGCCCGC